CAGCCGCTCGTGGGCAAGGCGGTATCAGGGTCAGGAAGCTGCGAATTTTCCACAAGGGACGGGTCAGGGCAGTTGTCTGATGAAGAGGGGCTGCTTACACTGTGGTTAAATAGCAGGTGACAAGGTGGGAAACCATTTATTTTTCAAATCAGAGAGCGAGGCCGGCTGCTGGAGACCTTGGTTCCCCGTGGAGGAGTCACAGCAAATACGTCTGGACCGGAATGGCGCGGGGAACACGATGTCAGGTGGGACATGCAGAAGGTGCGAACACGGTCCTCTGATAAAGGACATGAGGGGGAGTGTAAGAGGGGACATAAACTGTAGTTATTGACAGGAACTGATGCTTGCTTGGTCAAGAAAAGGGGTGACATGAATCTTGCCACCTCTCCCAAGGCAGTCCCAAATCCCAAACCACAGGTCTCCTGGGAAAATAGGCAGGGATGGCTTCTTGCTAATTAGCATTACTCAGACTCCACTCTCCTTTCAAAGGACTCCCCCATTAATTCAATTCCATATAATTAATGTAGCAATTTGATTCCTTGGTGAGATGACCCACCACAGCCATGCTACCAATGAGGCTCACATGTTAGGCCCTGGTTCAATAGATGGGAAAGAAGAGAGGGCTCCAGGGAAACTGCCTTTGAACCAACAATGCCCAGGTAATTCTGAAGCCAACGAGCCTGCTCATTCTTTCTGCAACACTCCAACAGAAACATAAGGATGCAACAATTTTAGGTTTCCTTTCATTTCCTTCTCTTACATGTATTCCAAGAGGACGCTGTCAAAAACAGCATTTCCATCCAGAGTCTGGCAAATCCAAGGTACCTTTCTCAGCAGAACCTCATTTTCCACCTGCAGAGTTGACGTTTGAGGCTACGCAGAGTGTCTTTAAGAGAAAATTATTCTCATTCAATTCAATATAACAAAACAATTAGTGACTGTGAGTTGGTTAGAGATCGCATTCTGTGGCTAGTGGACAGAATCTCAATGGCAGTGTCTTAAACAAATTGGTTGTTTATTCTATTATGTGAAAAAGTTAGGAAATAGTTGATCAAAGCTGGTATAAGGGCTCTATAAATTCATCAAAGTTCAAGGCACTTCCCATTGTTTTGACCAGGATAACAAAATGGCTGCTGGAATCCAGCCATCAAGTCTGTATTCCAGGCAGGAAAAGCGGGGTGTGGCCCAAGGAAAGGGGGATCCCTGCTCCAAGCTGAGCCATTCTCCTATTAAAAGATTTCCTGGAAGCGCCAACCATAATTTCCCTTTACATATCACTGGCCACCCACAGATACAAGGGAAGCTGGGTAACTAGCCTGATGGGTGGCCCAGCACATTGCTGTCTCAGAGAATATCAGGATTCTGCAACTAAGGAAGAGGGAAGAATGAAAACTGAATAAGGTGACTGGAAATCTCTGCCGCAGTACCCTAAGTATCGGGCGGGGTGAGGAGGGAGGAGACGGAGCTGTGTAACCTTTAGTCCATTAGGGAGGACATGCAGAGCACACAAACAAGTGTAATTCTGTGGAAAGCTGCCAAGTGTGCTGTGAGAACCACAGAACAGGTGCTGCAAGGCCTTCGGAAGGGGGACATTTGAGCTGCTGTTTGACACACAGGTAGAATTATAGCCACAGAGATGGGTGGTGGAGAAAGACACCGTACAGACAACACGTATTTGGGGAACAGTTGGGCTCAATTGGAAGGACGTGGACAGGAAAGGCTCTGGGGGCTAGAACGATGTTTAGCAACCACTGAGTTGAAAGATTCTTAACCTGGGATCCACTCAGGGCCCCCATTGCAGGGGAGGGCCCTGAACTGCCTGAAATTCTATGCAAAACTTTTTATGTGTGGGTACATTGTGTTTTTCTAAAGGAACAGGCTCTGGATAATCCCTGTGTCGTTCTTTCCAATCTTTCCCAAGAGAGCCCACCCCACCCTCAGCTTTTATCCCTTTACAAGCAACCGAGCTACAAACACTAATTTTTCATTCCCCAACTCCCCACCCTCCATGCTCTACTCTGATCTGACTCACCCTGTTCCTCCTCTTTGAAATTACTCCTTCCTCCCTAGATATGGCAAGGTACATCGTGATTTCCCCATCACTGGAAGTATGTAGACATAGGCTCCACAAATACCTAGAAAGGAAATTCTAAAAGAGATTTGAGTTGTGAGCGACAGAAGAGAAGCATCAGATCCCATCCCAACCTGAGATTCTAGGATTCCCTTTGGCATAAATGTCCTCTGGTTTTAATATTCCTCCAGGAAGTCCTCCTTCCCCATCCCCAGTCACCATGGTCCCTTTATCTCCTTTTAATGTCAATACTTTCCACATGGAGTACATAACTTAACATTAGCCTAGCTTTATAACCTGTTTTGCATTGCTTCCCATCTTTTCCTAGATATAGGTCTAATGTAAAGAAAAAAGATAACTAATTCAAAAACAAGAACTTAGTCTTCTTCTCTTGTACCTTCACTATACCTTGCCCATAGGATAGCCAACTATGCCAGTGTGCCTAGGACTTAGGATTCTCCAGAGACATAGGATTCTCGGTGCTAAATCAGGATGAGTTGTTCACCCAAGTTGTCCAAAAAATGGGCACATCCTAGTATCTGCTTGTTGATACCTGAGTGTGGTAGGCTTTACTGCTGTTCGCCACTGTTTGGGGTTCTCCTCTCCCTCTGGGAACACATTGCAGTTCCCCATCACCTTGAACTTGGGCATGATTGTGTGACTTATTTTGGCCAATGAAATGTGAGTGGACTTAATGGGTGTCACCTCTGAGTGGTAGCATTTAAGACTCCATGCGCCATTCTCTGTACACTCTCTTCTCTTGCCCTGGCCAGCCCTGCAGCCATGGTGTTGTGACGCCTGCACAGAGGACAGTGTAGAATGTTGCAGTGAAGCAGAGCCCGCTGCCTCCTGTGCTGGACATGTAGAGTGAGCCAAAGCTAGCTTCGCTGATGTTCAGTCCCTGAGAGTTCTATGTTTTTCATTACTGCAGCGGAACCAAACCTAACCTGACTGGTACATCAACCACCCAAAATCTCAAAGCTCATTAGCAATGCATTCAAAGTCAAGTTACTAGGACAAACGACCCCCAAAAAAATCCTTAGAGTTTTTTTCTCAGGCAGAAACTTTGAAGCACATAATCAAAAAAGCAAATTGTGTGAAAGTTGGAAACTTGAGGCTGGTCTCCCACAAAGCTCAGGAAAGCTGGAGGCCAGACCACTTGAGAAAAAGCCTCCAGGAACAGAAAAACCTTCCTAGTTCCCACCCACCAGCCCAGGCTATTGATTTCCATTGTTAGCATTCCAATTCGAGAACAATTTAGAAACTTCAACCCTTCAATGTTTAGGTGAGGAACTCTCCAAAAGGGAAAATAACTGGTTCAAGGCGAATTTTCCACACATTTTGCCATTTTCCTTGCTTTTCCACCTAGGTGATTCTCGCAGCCATTTATTTCATTGGCATTTCACATCCCGTGGCTTCCTGGTGAAAAACTAGCCTCAGTCTCATGCATGGGTTTAAAATCATATTTTTTTAAAAAAAAACCTTTTTATTATTACAATACTAATTTTCTTTACAATAGTAATAAGTGCATACTCATTTTTTAGTATAAGAAAATGAAGAATAATTTTAAGAATCCAAAACTTACCATCCACAGGTAGTCACTAATGATTTTTTCAATAAGAATGAATTTGTTACACTTTATAATGTATAAAATATTCAGCCTCATCAGTATTTTTGCTGGTTACATGGCATTCTATTTTTATGGATAAATTATCATTTCTTGGGTGTTTTGGTTGTTTTGGGTTTTGGCTTGTTTGTTGGTTTTGGTTTTCATTAAATCACAAGTACTGTTTCAAGAAACACTGTGAATTTAAGTAGACACTTTCCCCTTAATATCTGTTTGGCCATCCTACATGTGGTTCTCAAACTTTAGCATGGGCCAGAATCACTGGGAGGGCTCGGTAAGCTACAGGTTGCTGAGACCCGGCCCCAGAGTTTACATCCGCAAATCTGGGCGGGGCCTGAGAATTTGTATTCCTAACCCAAGTTCCCCGTTGTGCTGGTACTGCCCATTTGGGACCATATTTTGTAAACCACCATCCTGTTATTCATACTTCCAAGAACCTAATACCACCCAAGCCCTTAGTTTTCTTTGTTAGACAGCCTGTTGCAATTGGCCTTGCACTCTGTGGAGGGGGCAGTTCTTTTGTGGTCTCCTGTTCTTTCCCCACTCGTGACTGCAAGTCCCTTTCATCACCAAACCTTACCAAGTGTCTTCTGGGCCTTCTGGGATTTGTTTTACTTAAAATTTTTTTATTATATTTTTCCTATTACCATTTAGTCCCCTTACACCCTGCTGCCACAAATCTGTTTTCATGGACATCATTGATCCAAAATAGATAGAATTGAGTATCACAGATGCCAGTGAGCTGGAAAGAGCTCTCCACCCACAAGTAAGGACGCATTGCAAGTAAACTTAATATTGTTGTGTATTTGTAAGGAAGTGGTTTAAAGCTTAAGGTTTAAAGCTTAAAGCTTAGGCTCTGGGGTTAACACTGGGTTATACCTGGGCTCTGGTAGTTACTAAGCTATGAGAGCTTGGGCCAATCACATCTTTGAGCCTCACCTGTAAAATGGAGGCAATAACGCCTCTGTTGCAAGGAGATGGCAAGAAATAGAAATAATATGTATAAAGAAGCAGGGACAGAAACAGTCCTCAATAAATGGCAGCTGTTGTGTTGAATTTTTTTTTAATGTTTTGATTTTTTTCCTGGCCTTTTTCTCTGCTGAGGGCCCAGGAACAGCATCCGTCGCTCGTGGGGGTCCTTTCCGCCCGGGGCCGGTGGTTCCTATCATTTACATTTACAAGAATTCTTTCTAGTCACCTGCCTTGAGCGGTGGAGCCGCGAACCCCACGGGCTTCTGGAGTCCCGGCTCTTCGGATATTTACGGCGCGCGGCTGCGCCGCTAGGGCTCAAGTCTGCGCTTTCAGGTTCAGTTTCAGGGTCTCGCCGGCAGCCCTGGCCGGCAGGCGCGGACCCAGCCGCGGGGCCCGGACGGCAGGGCCCTCTGGGGGCCCCGGAGTTGGGAGGGGGCGTCCGGGAGCCCCCGGAGGAGGATGGGCTGCAGACACAGCAGGCTGAGGTGCTGCAAAGCCCCCCAAAAGGTAAAGGGCGCCGGCCCAGAAGTTTGCCTTCAGAAGGGAAGGGAAGTGTGGAGCGGCTCTGCCGCTGGGGATCCGCGGTCCCGCGGGCTCGCTCGGGGCAGCCTGGGGCGCCGGGCGGAGAACTGCGAGAGGCCGTCACGGAGGGAGGCAGGGAAGGCTCCGCCGGGCGGCGCTCTTTCCCCCGGCCCAGGGCTGAGCCACGGGGGCAGCGGAGTTTACAAGCACGGCCCCTGGGCCCGGGAAGGACAGATAATTTCCTATGCCAGAGTGAGGAAATCCCTAGTGCCTGTGGCACATGCCCTTCTCCGGTCAGGGGCTGCTAGCTGTGTGGCCATGGACTTGACCTCCCCGGCCCTTCGGCTTTCCCACGGCTCCGAAGCAGACCCTCTCTAGGGCTGCTGCTCGCAGAGTGGTCCACGGATTGGCAGCATCCACATCATGTGGAGCCTGTTAGAAATGCAGAATCTCGGGCTCTGCCCCAGACTGATTAAACAGAACATGCCTTTTAACAAGAGGCTAAGGTGATTGATGACAGTAAGCTTTAAAGTTTGAGAATCGTTGGTCCGGAGCCTCTTCAGGCCCCGCGGGTGCTTGTGGACTGTCCTGGGGTTTCGGTGGGGGTGGAGGAACTGGGAGGGGCCAAAGAGGGAGGAGCTCTACAGCCTGCCACCCTTCGCTCCTTTCCGATCCCCCAAGGGGCCTCAGAGCTGGGTTAGGACCCAGGAGACTCTGCTCGGGTTTCTTGCAGTGGTACCAGCTGCCCCTTGGGGTCTGACAAGCCCAGAAGGTTCAGATCCTAGAGTCTGAAGGACAACCTCCTTAGGGGACTTCCTGAGGCACGGAGGGAAAAGGAAGGACCCCTCAAGTTCTGGCCCTTTTTCCTATCAGTGCCTGCCATCCAGCCAGGTGGGAATAGGTGGTCCCATTAACTTGATATCAGCCCTCTGGAGACCCTGGCAGGACCCAAACTTTGAGAATATTTGGTCATCTTTCAATGAATTTGAGTCTCTCTCTCTGTCCCTCTGTGCACCTGCTGTGCCTGTGCCTAAGCACAAGCCTTTTTAGTCTGTTGGGTATTGCGTGCTGTCCCCACCCTGCTCCCTGTGTGGCCGTGCCCTGTGCCTAGTCTAGGAAGATAAGTTTTGGTCCCAAGTACAATGCCCCCCCCCTGCTTTCCTGGCTCCTCCTTTACTCCCTGTTCAAAAAAAACCTCTCCAGGCCCAGAAACCATCATGTCTTCTCTGGCTTCAGCAGGGAAACTGAGCCTTGGCCCTGTCAGCAGAAACACGGGGCTGGCTGATAAGGTGATGGGCAAATAGACCTAAGCCAGGCCTGAGACTTGTAATCGATGGTGATAGGAGGACATCAGTCCTGGGCTTAGGTCCTGGCTCTGCCACAAACATGATGTGTGACCCCAAGAAAACCCTGACCTTCCTTACCATTCTCTGGACCTCACTTTCTCCCTCAATATGGAGAAGGAGGGAAATAGTTTCTAGCAGTCTGAGAGTCTGTGTTCTGTCTACTTGTGTCAACCTCCCAGTCTGCAGAGTGGGCCAGTGGTGAGTTCCATCCACACAGCAGTGGCAGGAGACTGAAGGAGGGCCCTGTTCTGGCCTGCCCTTCCATGGACCGGAAGAGGAGACCACCACGAGCATGGGTCCCCACGCCTTCTGGCCCTCCCGAGGGCCTTACTGCTGTCCCCGTCTGTCCTCAGCACAGACCACCCAAGTGAGCAGGGGCCTTGGAGACCACCTGCGCTCAAACACCCAGTGTACGGATGGAGGTGGGGGTCTAGAGAAGGGAGGGGTCTTGACAGGTGTCACACAAAGTAACTTAGAGCAGAGCCCTGGTAGCCAGTCCCTCAATCCAGGGTTCTGTGTCTCGGCCCCTACCCTGTTCTTTTGGTGTCTTCTTAATGATCCCAAAGCCCTTTGGCATAAAAGCCTTCCACCCTGTTGCCTCAGAGCAGCCTGGCATGTCTTCCTCACCCCAGCAGTGTCAGGGCCCTGCCCCTGTATGACAGGACTTGTAAGTCAATTTTGTTTAAAGTTCATGCCTGTTTCACATCCACGCCCAGTTTCTCAGCCAGGCGCCAACCCCGGAGCACCCAAGCCCATGCCCAACAGGCTGCCGGTTCCCTGGTGGGCGGCCGGAGCAAAGAGCTCTGAGGGTGAGATACACAAAAATGAGCTCAGACTAGAGGGGGACAGGTCACCACAACAATGACTCAGCCTGAGTAGCAGTTTACAGAGTACTTACACATCCTGCTGAGCTCACAAAAGTAAAGCTGAGCTGCAGCATCTTCCCCACTTTACAGGCGAGGGAACCGGGGCTTAGCAAGGAGTGATGTGTCCACAGTCACAGAGCCAGCTGGTGGCAGAGCTGTGCAACTGACCCTGGTCTCTGCACGCCCTCTCCAGTGCTGGTCACCTGGTACGTAGCAGGTGCTACGTAAATATTTGCGTGAATAAATGTGGGCCAAATAAGAGCCAAGCTAAGTCTTAGCCCAGCATGCAAAAGGAGTAGCTCATTCGGCCTTGGGAGACACAGGAAGGCTTTTTGGATCTGGTAGGGGGACTGTGTGTTGGAAGTTTAGTAGGAGTTACCCAGTCAAGGCGGAGAGAACAGCCTGAGCACAGGCTGAACTGGAAAAAAAGCTCAGTATGATGGGGCTCATTATGGAGAGTAGAGGTGGCAGGTAGCAAAGAACGAGACCAGAGATTCCGGTGGGGTCTACCCTGGCTAGGGACAGGGGATTGACCACTAGGATTCCTCAGAGTCCCTCTGGGTTCAAGGACCTGAGGGTTTGCTGAGTTTGTTACAGTGCCTGGTGGTCTCAGCTGACCAGCTGTTCCAGGCTCCATTGAGAGGCCCAATCACTGCCTTATGGGGACAGGTTGAAATCCTCGTGAATGAATGAGTGGGGATCCCTCACAGACCCGGGGTGCATACTGAGGATCTATCTGCATGATGTGGTCCTTCCTATGCCTGTCTTGGCAGAGACCGTGGCTGATGTGGCCATGTTCCCTGGGAGGACTTTGGAGAAGGCCAGACAGACAGAGAAGGGGCCCAGGAAACAAATTTTCCATAGACTTGCCCGTAGGAGTGAGCTGGGAGTATGCAGGGCCTTCCTTCCCCAGCAGGTTACCAGCCCCTCTGTGGGGAGGGGCACCTGGTACCTTGCGGCCAGCCCTCTATGCAGGTGCTGGCATGGTGTCTGAACTGCCCAGTCCCTGGGGCTTCTGCTCTGGCAGCAGCCCCACCGCCCTGAGCAGGCAGACAGAGGGCCTGCTCGGCACTGCTCCCAAAGCTGGGCCTCAGGCAGCAGGTTCTCGATGAGTCAGGCTCTCAGTAGCCCTTTGTGATCACATCCGCGGAGCAGGTCAGGTGAGACAGAGGGGGAGACGCAAAAGGGAGTGATGTGGAACAGGCTGCGTGGGCAGAAATAATCCTGAAACTCAACCAGAGACACTGCAGACAGGGGTTTATAGAGCTGGATTCACGTGGCCATATATGAACTTGACACTCGAGGCGCTGGGCTCCATGCTGTTTCAGTCCTGGCTCCTTCCAGATCCATTCAGTGACCGTGGAAGGAACTTGGCTTCTTTATGCCTCAGTTTCGTCATCTGTAAGATAAGTGTGATATTAGCTCCCGGGTCAAGGATTGCTCTAAAAATTAGATGAAAGAATGTGTTTAATAGTGTCCCTGATACACTGGCTAGCAAGCGGCACGCCCCTGATAAGAGGGAAATGTGGTAATGGTGTAAGGGAAACATAGTTACACTCCAAGGACACCCCTGCCCAAACTGTACCCAAGGAAAGCAAGCAGAGATGTGGGAACCAGGGGACATTGATAGCCTTGAAAGACCACTGGGGTCGGAGGCCTGGAGGCCAGCCACTACCTTCCAACCTCTGACGGATTGCCAAGAAGCATGAGAAGTAGCCTTGTTCTCTGTTGTTCCAGAAGGTAGATTTGTGGTCAGTGAGGGGAAAGCTAAAGGAGGCCTGATTCTACCTCTTATGAGGAAGAAGGGTAGTGAGTTCCCCATCTCTGAAGGAGTTTGAGTAGAGGTCAGATGGTATTTTGGCAAGGATAGAAGAGGGGATGCAAGCCTTGGACTAACAAATATTTAGGATTCCACTTAAGACATCTAATTATTCTGATTATTACAGTGTTTGAGGCAGAATATCAAAATTTGGAAAAGTAAAAAGAAATTTAGGAGTCACTTTTAATCCCATCATTAAGAGATAGGCTCTCTGTACATTTCAGTGTCTTTCTTTTCCTGCTGTGTAATATACACCAGTGTGACTATTTTACATGGTTGTGTTTTAGTTACTCAGCATTTTGCTGGGGCATTTTCCCATGTTAAATAATTCATGGAAACATGACTTTTAATGGCTACCTAATGTTCTGTGGCTGGCCTGTGATTTATTTAACCAGCTGGACATGTGGGTGTTTACATTACTCATGAGCGTTCTTATGTTTCATCCTAACTCTGGGCTGGGTGCCTTTGTGTTCAGTGGGGAGAGCTGGGGACGAGGGAAGGTGTCCCAAGGGAGATGGCATCTTGGCTGGGTTTGGAGGTGGTTGGACTTGACCTTGTGTTAGGGTGAGTGGGGTACCTGACAGGCCGAGCTCGTAACACCTGCTTAGTAGGAGCGGGGCAGTCCTGTTTAATCGGACTGTTGAACTCAGAGTGCCAAGGGTGCGGTGGTGAGGGGCTGGGAAGGGAAGCTGCCTTCCCTGGACACTGAGCCCTCCGCCGCAGGCATTGCAGGGACAGGGGTGAGTGTGTGGCCTCCGAGTGGTTTTTGCCCGACCTGAAAAATAATGCCCCCAAATCATCCCAGCTGAGCCAAATACAGGCTTCCACACATGCGCCCTGAAACCTTAGAGTTTGAACCGGATTTCTGTGCTATGAAGGAACATCTGTACACTCCGTGACATAAAACCCATTAGAAAAATTTCAGTCATGCTTGCCTTGCAGACGCACCTTTGG